CGAAGCTGTAACGACTCTTTGCTCCAGCCCGAGAAGCGCTGACCCAAATTGCATGGCACATGATGGTAGGGCTAAAACCAAATGCTAAATTGCTCGCTTTCGGGCACGTGTGGCGCGCAGCGCATGTCTCAAGTGGCCAAGGTGTTGATGATGCACAACCGCTTTGGCATGATTTTTCCCAGCCACTTGGCGGCAAGCCTGGCGTATAGCAACATAAATGTTGGCCGAATGCTTGGCGGAGCCAATTCCCCGCCAATAATCCAATATCTTCTTCGCTAGCCAGGGATCGAACATTAGCAACCGTCTGCACCAACATTGAGATGCTTTGGAGTGGCAATGGTGGCCGTTGCGAGTTTACAAACAGTTTCTGAGTAGCATGTTGCTTTGTGTTTCGAAGGTCACATCAAAGTTTCTTCACTCGCCTTCATTTCCTCGCAAATGGTTTCATAGTGCAGTCCTCAGACTCGCAACCTTAGGATATGGGACACTTACAAGTTCCAGCCAGTCGATGTTCTTCTTCCTCACCGGCTACTTCGACACTGCAGACCTGCACTTGGGCCCAAACAAAAATGAGTCGTCACGCATCCGTCCGGCCGAAGGTTTGCTTGTTGCCTTGTTTTTTGGCAGGTCTGCTGGGTTGTCAGCAGGGTGTGGCAGACCACGTGAAAAGGGCCTGACCTCCAAGAAGTCTCAAAGCAATTCAAGTTTGAGGCAGGATTTTGACGCCATGGCAGGTATGAGTTTTCGCCACTCTTCTTGCTGATGGTCATGGTGTTCTTCCAGGTTGCCTTCCTTCTGATCTTGAACTTGTTCGTCTCGGCGATCATCTTCCGCTGGAAGGACACGCGCCGAGATGCGGAGGAGTTCTCCATCAGCGGTTTCTTCCGGCTCATGCCCTTCGGCTTTCGAGAGTCCTTTCCGCGAGCCAAGTTTCGGGGTAGGCCCAGGCTTGCGAGTTGCATCCTTCCATCGGCAGTTGCTTATGTGTGTTTTTGTTGCTTCTTTTTTTCTGCATTTTGTGTGGGAGGGCGGGGCGCGGGTAGCCAGGCGGGCCCTTTGGCGTTGCCATGGGGTTCCTGACACTTGATATAGTACAGAACCCGCCTTGACATAACCCCAAGCCGTGACAACTTGTGGGTTCGCAACCGCAGCGAAAGCGAAGGACAGACATTCATGCTGGCAAGGCCCGCTGGCTGCCGTTGTCAAACTTGGAACAGCAATGGTTTACTGCGAGGGTGCAACCGTTCTAGGGTTGATTTCCCATTCTTTTCAACCATTGTTTTTTTCAAAACCGGCAGTTTTCCCTGAGTTTCCGAAGGTATTCTAGAAAGAAGGATCCCTGGAAAGAATGGGGAAGGTACCCCTAGAACCATGTGAAACCTGAAGCCATCAAAGCCTGGGATGACCAGGGTGCTGTTTGGCGCAAAGAGCACCCCCCCTTCTTTTCGGACATGACATCGGCCTTTGTCATGTGTTTTTGTTGCCTTTTGTAGGTTCCCCATGAAAGCTTCGCCAGTCTTTTGGCCGGCCGAACTCTCTGTCTAGATTTGTCGGATTTTCTTATTTCTTTCTCGGCTGGGCGCCACCGAGGAAGGAGCATCTGAACATCTTCAAGCCCAACAAGGGCGGCAGCCGCGCGGAGGAGGACCGAAGCCTGCAGAAGCTGGACGCGGAGTCTTTGCTGCATTTTGCTTGGTCGGACTTTAACTAATGGGCTTTAGCTTGTTTGCCAATGTATTTTACTTGTTAACTTTTTGCCAACGAATGGGTTTTCCATATTAAACCCACTAAATTTACTAACTTCTCGCAGGGAAGCAGAAAGCAACCGAGGAATTCTGGTCGAAGATGGGCATTCTGCGACACCTGGAACGCTTGGATGAGCAGCTTGGCGCGAGCGAGGGGTTTACGACCAAGGCGTGTTAGAGCCGGTGGCTGCGGGTGGTTCTTATATGTTGCTCCCTTTGTCCCATGTACTGGCTGTTACTGCTTATGAGGTTCCGTATGTCGAATTTTGTGACTCCGCGTAGTAATAGTGAGAGCGAGTCAGACATGTTATGGGGAGTCGTTGGTTGCTGGAAGGTGTCGTGAAGTCTTCTTCGATTGCTCGACCCAGTGATTGAGGCCCGAAGAACAAGCAGCACAGGGATTGCCAACTTAACATGGTTTAAGTCAGCATTGAAGGGCACAATGATACGAAGCTTCCTTCATCCTATCCCGACATGGTCAGGTTTCAATAACTGTTCTGCTTCTTGCAAAGGTGTAAAACAGTCAATCTGCGATGCTAGGCCCTTCCGACCGTTGAGAAGAGACACAGACAGAGATGCAGACACAGAGAGACACTGCGAGAGAGAGCGAGGGAGGGAGAGAGACTGACAGAGAAAGAGAGAGAGAGAGAGAGATTCAAACAGGGACAAAGAGACACGAAGAGATAGAGAAAGAGAGAGAGAGAGATAGAGAGACAGGACACAGAGACTCAGACACGATAGACACAGACGGACAGACAGACAGAGACAGAGACAGAGACAGAGACAGAGACAGACAGACAGAGACAGAGACAGACAGACAGAGACAGAGACAGAGAAGCAGAAGGCAAAATGCACTGAGCTGTGCTTGTCGGCTTGTGTGTGTGCCTTGCGCGGCTACTGGTCTCCATGTGCATGGGTGCAAAGAGTACACGAAATGGGACTCAACAACACTGGGTCCCAAGAGTCAGGGCAAGAAAGTCCAAGCCTCAGTCGTGAAGTTTTTTGTCTCACTCCTGACAAGCACCGCTACTTTTCAATGCCGATGACGGCTTCGCCGCTTTTGAGCAACACAAGTTTCCCAGCACCCTACCGGGAGGATGGAACTTAGGCGCTCCAAAAGAGCTTGCTTCCGTTGTGAACTGCTCGTTCCAGAAACGGTTGTTGTTTTTTTGTTGTTGTTCTCCATTGTCCATCCTTTATTCGGAGGTGACACGTGTTTGACATCTCACGTTTCTGCCTTCAGGCAGCTTGGACTCCCTTCTAAAAGATTGAACACTGCCTAAGCGGCTGTGAGTCAAAAATACGTGTCCAAAATGGCTTGCCCTGGTAAATGGAAAGGACTGGACTAAAAAACCTGCAGTCCATTTTCCTGGTCTGAGTCTGGTGGTTGAATTTTTGACCCGAGTGACAGGCAGGCGTTTGAATGGACAGCGAACGCGCCGAAATTCGAGGAGCGGGAAGATCGTGCCCGTGGAGAGCGAAAAGGTGCGTGAAGACGAGGCGCGTGAGAGAAACTGGGTGGGGCAAAGCATTATTTACAAGGGAAGAATCATCATAACTAGTGGTTTGAACATGTTTAAACCAATGGATGGCCCCACCCTAGAGAGAAAGCCGACTCGAAAAAGCTGCAGACCCCAGTGGGTTGCCAAACAAATCCACGGGATCCACGCAACGTACATTGAGCTGAATCTGTGTTTTTGTTTGGACCGACGCGGCTGGTCTTGCACATTCTATGTTGCTTGGGTCATTATTTTGACCGTTTCTAGGGGTTATCAAAGTCAGAAACTGAGGTTGTTTCCCTTTAATCCATCACTTAGGGGGTTGACTTTGATGGTAAAATCATGAGGCCAGTGTTGGGCCAATTCCAGCACCCGAGAGGTGTCCAAGGAGGAGAACTCGGAGGACGAGGGCGAACAGAGGGATGACCTGGAGCGCTTCGTCACGATCTTCAAGAAGGAGCCGCCGTTTCGCTGTGTCACCCAGCGCTTTTCTTGGAAGCCATCAAAAACCCAGGGGAAACGGATCTGGTTTTTGAAAAGAACGATGATTGGAAAGAATGGGGAAGCTAACCCTAGAGTTTCGAAACTATACTTGGTGTCTCCCAGCCATCCGGTTCCTTAGCTTTTTAGATCCTTTTAGCTGGTTTAGTGGTAGTTTCCATGTAGCCCACTAAAAGTGAGTCACTTTTAGCGGGGGATCCGAAAACGGGCAGCCCAGTTCCTATTTGCCCAGAAAGCCACCAAGCGTAGCTGGTCACCTTTTGGTGTCGTAGCGGGCCTATTTCCAAGAGTGCGACCTATTGGGCGACCTCTGTGGCAGAGTGGGCAACTGACACGACTTTGGAAGTAGGTCAAAGGTTTCGTCTTGGAATTTTGTTCAGTGGCACCCCGCTCGAAATGGTCAACCTCGAACATTTGTTGGTTCTGCTGGAAGGAAGGGTGCTATCCTTTCAAAGGGTCCTTTGAACTTCCCATGTGAGCATCATTCAGGCTGCGTTCCAGTCTGAAAGTCGCGAAAGAAGGGTTCCAACTCACCAGATGTTTCTCCCAAAATGGCTTCCCACCCCTGCGGGTAGCAATCTTTCAAGGCGGCGGGTTTCTTCTATCAGGCTCCCTCTGACTCTAATTAAGCAACTGTTTATGGCGGCGTAGCCCAGACCCCATCGCTTGGTGCGCTAGTTTGCGAATCTTTAACTCACGGTGCGCCCTTTTGAAGCACTGCGTCTGGTTGTTGATGGTGAATTCTCAGGAAAGCCGCCAATTGTTTGCCCACGAAGCACGGCAGGCACACATGGAGATCGCCTCGCAGATGACAAGGGATGTCGGGGAGGTTGAGGACGAGGGCTCTCTAGCGACCCGGCCAGACCTATGGCGGGAGGGGGATCCTGAAAAACTCAAATTGCCCAACGCGAATCGACCGGGTTTGGCCCTTTGGTTTCCCTGATTTGATCCAGTGGCCAAGGTTCCAAAAGACGAGCGCCTTTCATTTCTGGGGTCAAGGGGCAACTGAGATGGCGGGATCCTGCCTGTCGACCGCAGGTTGTTTGGCCGAATTCAAATTCCTTTTATGCCCCAAGTGAGACCCGCCCGGCCCCTTTTTTGGCTACGAGCTCTCGGGGCTGCAGGAGAGTCACTGCCCCAGCCGCCCGCTTCATTTCCAGAACAGTCCTTTGATGAGATTGCTGGCCAAGGGGATGGTGAATCTGATGGCCTTGTGTTCTCTTTGGCATGGTGGGCAGCTGAAACCAAGGCTCAGAGGCTCCAGTCACCCTTGTGTTTGCTGGTCAGGGAAGAACACATGGAATGAACCTGAGGATTCCCCCCAAAAAAATGGAGGCCCTACAAACCGGATAGGTTTTCGAGGTCGGAGTCGGACTCCCTTTCTCGCTCGCCTTTTTTGGCACCTGCCGCGCCGTGGTTTGGTCGTGGAGTTTGTGGCTTGGTTTCAGATGGGCCGGGGCCGCCAGGAGAAGTTGATCCTGGTCGCCTTTGACGACTCCCAGGAGCCTGAAAAGAAAAAAACAACCAGACTTTGCTTGGCGCGCCAACAAAAGTGAAAGGGAACCTCTGAAACGGGTGGGTGCCTTTTGGCTTCCCCGTTATAGCCACCGACCAGAAGAAGGTGCACTCAAATAAACACGCCCAAATTGTTGCTGCTTCTTTGGCGTCCATTACGTAGGACGGCCAGGAGAAAATAGGGCACATTTTGCTATTTGCGACAACCGATTGATGAACCGCCAGCGGTACTATGCAATCGGATCCCTAAGTTAATGCATGTTGGAGCCTTTGGTTTCACACGTCGCGTTGCTTAATATGCACGCATATGCGCGCCAGGTTGTGTCGTTTTTGTAGTTGCTGTAGCCTTCTTCTTTTTCTGGTTCTGCTGCCATGTGCCTGGAGCTGAGCCATTCAAGAAACTTTGGTGCATTGTGCCAAGGGATGTTCGGACCTTAACTTTTTGCCAACGAATTTGGGTTTTCCGTATTAAACCACTAAAAGTTAGTCACGTTTAGCAGGGGAGCAGATTTCGCAACCGAGGAATCACAACTCTTCGGGGCTGAACATCTTGTAGTCTAGGCCATGAAAAGCATAGGCAGCTTCAACATCAGCTGCTCTGGCGCCGAGGTTGTTGAGCTTCAACTCACCGAACTCACGTCAGAGATCAAGAAAGGAATGCTTCTGGGATGTGAAGAGCTCCTTAAAAGAAACTCATTTTGCCCATTTGAAACATGGCTTTTTCCACCAAAATAAAGGAACACCACCATTTACAAGGCAATGTTCAGGTGTACAATGTAAGGATCCCTGATGTGTGTGAGGTGCTTCTTTCTCTGTCTGCGTTTGTTTTTTTCATCTCGATGTTTGTTCACCTCTGTGTCTCTATGTCTGTGTGTCTGTGTCTTTGTGCACCTCGACGCGTCCCTGTGCCTCTCTGTGCGTCTTTGCGCGTCTCTGTGCGTCTCTGTGCTCCTCTGTGTTGTCTGTGTCTCTTTGTCCTTGTCAGTCTGTCTTCTCTGCATCTGTCTCTGTAACTGTCTTTGTCTCTGTCTGTCTGCCTCTGTCTGAGTGCCTGTCTCTGTCTGTCTCTGTCTCTTTCTGCCTCTCTCTGTCTCTCTGTGTCTTTCTGTTTTTGTCTCTGTCTTTCTGATTGTTTGTCTTTGTGCCGGTCCGTTTGTCCATCACATGCATCGCAACTCATTGCCTCGTGTTGGTTTGCTGAGACCCCTGAGTCTCATCCGAGGAGCTTTGGCTAGCATGGCCCCCTTAGCTGTGGCTCAAAAAACTGTACCAAAATGGAACCCTGGTAAGTGGAAGCATGGACCAAAACATGCGTAACCCCCTCCTGCTTAATTTCGAGCCACACCCAGTTCTGCCACGACACAGCTAGACGCCCGCAGCTTCCCAGGAGACACTCGGCATCATCGAGGAGCCCCAAAACCGCAACACCATGGAAGCTACGGCAGCAAGATGCGAAACATGTTCAGGCTTCCATTGGTCCACAGGCGTCCCAGGTTGATCTTTGCTCTGAGTTCCTCGACTGAAGTTGTTGTTGTTGTTTTTTTTTGGGGGGGAAGACCATGGAAGACCAGTTTAGTGGCAAACAAACCCTTTTTTCTCTTCTGACCACCACTCAGTGAGTAACTTTCACATTTCAGGCAGGCGACAAGCCCGAAACGCGTGCTGTTCACATCGAAAACTATTGGTCAACACGGACATGTGCTGAGGAGTACATCAGCACAAAGATGAACCAGGAGCACCTCGCGCAGATTGGGCTTTCTGCTCATTTTTGACTCCAATGTATCCATTTATGACTCAGCAAGACTGATCTGAACTTTGATTCTCAGAGCCTACATGGGCAAGGCGCTGGAGCCCTCAATCTCAATCCAACACCGAGCAGGTGTAAAAGTCCCGTCCGGGACACTTATGACTTTGGCATGAGCAGAGCTTGTCAGTTGTTCATACTCGATTGATACCCAAGAAAGCTTTGCAGCTACTTTCCTTGGTGGCTCCCCGCCATCCGGTTCCTTAGCTTTTTAGCTTTCTAGCTGGTTTAGTGTTTGTTTGTTCCATTTAACTGACTAAAAGTTAAACAGACAAACAGACAGACAGCCACGGCTTTTGGCGCGAAACAACGCCAAAGTTGAACTCATTTAGTGGTTGGTTTTCCATTTGTCCCACTAAAAGTCAAACATTTAGCCGGGGATCTGAAATCGGCGCAGTTTAATAAGGCCGTCCTCAGGGGCTCATGAGGGATGCCCCCCCAACCCCCCGTTAGGCGTGCATAACATCATGGGAGGACAGCTCAGTATTTTGCTCAAAAGTCAAACATTTAGCGGGGCATCTGAAAACGGACGGCTCAGTTTCGCTTCGACAGGAGCTGGAGCACGCGGAGAGACCGGCGCAGGAGATCTGGCTGGACGCCCTGATTACCGTGCTCGAGGAGGCGAGGCAAACAACTCACGGGGCGCAAAGGCAACGGCCTCAACGGGGCGCCTTAAAAGAGACATTTGGCTGTGGGTCAAAAAATACGGTAACCCCAAAATGGCTTGCCCCGGCAAATTGAACCAAGGACTAAAACCTGCGGTCCATTTCCTGGTGTAATTTTGACCCATCCCCATTTTACAACCAATTGAAACATGTGGCTTTTTCAACACCGAGATAAAGGGAAACCAGCATTTCCAGGTTGCAATGCTCAGGTGTAAGGATCCCTGCTCAAATCAGAGCTGTCAAGTTGGGAAGCTGGTTTTCTCACTTCCATTTGCTGAAATGTTTGTTTTGTCCCTGTTGGTTTTAAAGGGAACCTATGACTGACTGACTTGTTTTTTTTTTCTCAGGGGCCTTCAGCAAATGGAAGCTCGCGTGTTTGCCTCATTGTGCACTTCCATGATTGCGATGTGCCGATCCCGAATGTCATGGCTCGCGCACGCAAGAATGCAGTTGACATATGTTGACATGGCTATGTGTCAAGCTCGGGGACTTGTGGTTTCCCTTGCAAAAACCAACCTGAAAAGTGCGCCTTCAAAAAGAGTACGCATTCAGCAGAAACACACGCATTCATGAGTCGTTTCTTTCTTTTTTTTGGATGGCACCCCCCTTACAGGGGAGAGGCCCATGGCGCCGTTAGGCGCAAGCGCTGCGCAAGCTGCAGAAGCTGTTCATCCCCATGCCCATGATCCAGCCAAAGAAGGCGCGGAGTGCGCGAGAGAAACTGTTCAATTCCGACTTGTCCCGGGGTTTAGGCTGAGATTCCTAGGTTGGTGAATTGTAGTGATGTCTTGACGGTACGCCTTTCTCGGATTTAGAAAGATGCGCTCCAGATTGATTCCCAAAAGCCGCCATGCAAAGCGGGAATAGCCGTTTTTGCGGAATGGGGAACCAAACCCTTTTGCAGCTTTGTTTGCGGGCAGGGGGGGGGGTGGGGCGGGGGTACCCTTTGAATTGGACTGGCTTTTCTTGTAGGATTTGGCTCTGTGTGCCTTATTCTTTGCATGGCCAGTTATTCCTGTGAGGCTTTTCTATCAAGTTATGCAGGCATTGCGTGTTGGGCGTTTCTGCGCCCTGGGGACGGGTTGAAGGTTGTTGCTGTGATCTCGAAGTTTTCACATGTCGGGTGGGCTTGCAGGCAAACCGTCATGTACCCTAGGCTTGCCACCCTGAGTCCCCCAGATTCCTCAGAGCCCTGCTCGATGGAGTGGCCACAAGCCACACGAGAGAGAACTAGTCCGAGTCACACGGTTTTGGGTGTCTAGTGTGACCTTAAAACCGGATTTCACAGGGCAATGGCCATTTTCTGCGTGTATTTCGAGGTGGGTCGTCCTTGGGTCAGTTTTGACCGTGCAGCTGGACGTGAGGCCCATGAGTGGCAGCTCTTCCATCAGAAGAAGATCCGCATGGAGCGGCGGCTGAACAGCTTCCTCCGATGGCTTCAGGAAGAGGCCAGATGGGCCCATGGGAGCCGTCGGGATGGCTTTAAAATTTACAAAGGCCTTACTCAGGGGTTGATGAGGGATGCCCCCCCCCGTTAGCTTACCTCTTTAAAACACAACTTTTCAACTTGTTGGGTAACATGGGCTATATGTCTGTAAAAGATTAACTTCCCCAGGTCTTGGAGTTTTAGGGGGTAAGTTAGGCGTGCAGAACAGGAACGACGATCATGGGGGGGTTGTCAAAATTGGGGCTTTTGCTGGTATCCACTTTAAGCGGCAGTACACAGGAGGGTCCAAGGGGGCCATATATTTGGCAACACCCCCCTCCCTCGCATGGGGCAATAAAAGCACACAAACTGTCTAGGTGGGATTTGTGGATAGCATGTCGGTAGCTCATCACCGCTGGCACCCTGTAAGGACTGACTCGCCTGACTCTGCTAGATTTCACGTGTCACTTCGTTTCATTGATGCAATCCATTCGTCCTTTGCATAGCTCAGGATGGTCAGACAAAGGTTGCAGTGATTCGCGCATCGAATTAGCCAGGCGCGGGTGCAGCATTACCAGTACGTGCGGGAAATGGCTGTCTCCAAAGAGCGGGTCCTGAAGCAGCTGCTTGGAAAAAATGAGGCCGCGTGGGCACTTGCTTTGATGAAACTCGCGTTGTGACTGTCGCGCCCTTTCGGGCAATGCCCAGCAAGGAGGTTGTTTCAACGATAGTGGACTATCTGCTTGAACAAGTTGTGAGCCCCTGGCGTGCTGGGCCTTGGCTGAGTCCGGGTCCTGAGCCTTCTTGGGCGAGGATGTGTTTTACGCTGCCATTCTTCTTTTGCCGCTGCGGCCGTATGGCAAACTGGCCAAGGACACAAGACTTGCACAGGCCAGCCCTAGGAGGGAGCTGGCTGGGGTCTGAAGGGCAGGTACCTAGAGGCACCATTGATCTGGGTGAATTATAACGACCTCGCGTGACCTCGCCCCAATGGTGATGTGGGGAATAGGCCCCGCAACCACCTTATTTCAGGTTGCTGAAATATTATAATTCACCCAGATTGATTGAACTCTTCGTGATCAGAACTTTGTTGCGTTGGATGTTTGGCTGAGGCAGAGCTTGGTTCTCATGGACTACTTGGAGACCCTGGACAAGCAGATCGAAAAGTTGCAGCAGGAGATCCAACGGCTCGAGAAGAAGAACTCTTCGATGAGGGCCCACGTCTCACCTCTTCTCTGAGCTCAAGCATCTATAGGTCCATTCAATTTTACTGATTGCTTTGGTGTTCGCAAACTTTAAGGTGTGTTCTGTTTCTTGTCTGTTTTTTTTTTGGGGGGGGAGGTGCCTTCCGCATCTTAGTCAAGGCCTATCAAGTTGAATGTGTTTCCTTCTTGCTTGTCAACTCAGCTGGTCAGCAATGATTCCGCATGTGAAAGGAGCTCCCGTGCGTTTTGGAGGTCTTACTTTGTAGCTTTCGCGGCATCGTTACAGCCAGCTTGCATGCAATGCAGCCAGGGAGAAGAGCGCACATTGCTTTATATCACATGCTGACGCGCTGGAAGGAAGCGTTTGTTATCCCGTAGCCGCTTGACTTTCCAATGGCAGTTGGCTGCTTTTGTCCTTTTGTGTTGCTCAGAGCTCAGCTGCGCCGTCGCAGCTTGCCCACATCGGAAGGATGGACAGGGTTGGGCGAAAAGTTTCGGGTTACTTGCGAAGCCAAGAGCCGGGCTTCGGCCGACAGCGGGGGCCGGCCTTCAAGTGGTTGCGGTTTTCATCGGTTTTCCACACTCGGAAAGCATGCACGCTGCGTTTGGCGAATCATGCTGGGGCTTCTGCTTCCAGAATTGCTGGCCTTAGACCCTTGGAAACAGACCCTCTTAGTTGATCGGCAGGATCGAAGAAGGACCCTTTCCAGCTCCTCACAGCAAACCTTTGCTAGGATCTGTTCTTAAACGGGCCCGGTGAGCAATTCCTGTCATGGGTCAGCAGCTCGTCAACCACGTTGCCCATTAAGCCGACGAAGGTCTCAAAACTGCTCGGGCAACGTAGGCTGAGTGTTTTTTGGCATGCCGCACCTGCGTTTCAACAAAAAACAACAAAAACAATGCGTGGTTTGATGGGGTCCCCGCTGAGTTTCTTGGAGGCCGCATGACTAGATGCAGGGCTGAAAAGAAGTCGCTGCAGTGTGCGAAAACGGCCATGGACGCATCTTTTGGTTTGTTCGCAAGATGCTTCTCTTGCCATGCATCATTCTCTGGCACCCAACATCTTGCGCGAGTCTACACTAGCCCAGACCTTTCTTTCAGAACGCTCCCACAAAGGTGCCGTCTTGAAACTCTCACGACAGCTGCCAGTTGATCTTTGGCCATCAGCACATCCAGATCGCCATAGGTGCCGCGAAAGAAACAAAGTTGCGCGAGGGTCTTGCGGCTGGGCCTTTGAGCCCCAGATACTCCGTTGCCCCGTTGGCGAAGTGGACGGATGGAAAGCTTGCAACAGGTGATCACCCTTGGTTTCTGGGTCTGTAAGGGGCACCTGACAGCTGAGTTCGACCCCTTCGGTTCAGTGAGAGGAACTAGTGGGGTAGCGGGGTACAGGAGACAGGGCCCGGAGAGAGACCCTGTGCGCAGTTGATTGCAGTTTCAAAGTGCGAGCTTCAGAAGCCGTGTCGCAAGTTCTCCACATTTGGTCGTGCCTGAATGGTTTTGTTGAGCTGACAAGGAAGCACGGGGTGTTTGAGACCCCAGCTCAGATTTGAAACTATGGGCATCCCGAAATGGGTGCCCCTTTTTGGGTTGTGAAAGGGAAGCAAAAGGCAGCCAAGCATTTGGGCCCCCTTGTTTTAACAGACAGCCAAATTGAGGTGTTCTTTCATTTTCCATTCGGAACCCATCTGCGAAACAGGGTACGTTCAGAAGTTGCGGCAAGAACGAGTGGTTCGGAGTGTTGACTTCGCCGTGCTGTGTTTCATGTTGTTCGTTCTGTCCCGCTTTTAGCCGGCTGCAAAGACTACAAGGTGCTTAAGCCTCACAAAGGATTGGACAGCTGAGGTTTCAAAGACTGGGAGAGTGTAATTCCAGATGCTCAGGAAACCCTTTGTTGGTGATTGGCTGGGGGATTTGCACTTCAGGGTTGGGAAAGTACCCCTGGAACCCTGGGCTCCATGAGCAAAACCCAACTAGAAGACCCCTCAACCCTGAAACCCTGAAATCGGGGCTGGTTTTCTTGGGGTCATTCCCTTTGTCGTGGGTCAAAACCAATGGTACCATTTTGGGGTAGGTGCACCACCCGTTTTGGTCTATTTTAGCAGGGATTGGGATGTTCACTGGGGGCTAACCGATTTGGGTTTTGACCCATGGCCATATGGAACCAGGAAAACCTTCACCAGCCATTCCCTGAGGCCGCTGGAAATCCGGTGGAAAGCATCGCTCGCATGGAGTTTTTGGCTTCGATCGGAAGGCCTGGGTTACTGCGGTCAGGGTCAGGTGGGTGCAGCTCAACTTGCTGGGTCGATAGGCAGGAAATGAGTTGGAACGACCCCTTTTTTCGGGGAGCCCTATACTCAGTTGTTCATATACGGCACCCTTTTTCCCCCATTTTTCGGGTGGCTTCCCCACTAAAATGTGGTCTTCCCCCAAAAAAAGGGTTCCCTTTTTTCCAGGGTCGCTGAACTGAGAGGTTCATTCCCAAAGCCCCTGTTTCCCTGAGCGGCAAGTCAAGCGCAATCCGGAGCCTTGGGTTACGAAAGGAGTTGGTGTCTTTTCTAGTGGCTTCCCTGGGATGGAAAATCGGAGGCCAAGCTTTGATTTTGAGGTGCCTTCAAAAAGTCTCGGTAATTATCCTTTGCAGGTTGGTTTCTTCGAAGCGAAAGGACCCCCCCGCTAATTTTTGTTGGAACCGACGCCCTCAGAGCTCATGCAGAAAGTTTTGGTGACGGTGCCCTTCGGATTGGCAGCCTGTTTGCACCGGCATTTACAGTATATACTCTAAACGTGAATCCGGCCACATGCAAAAGCAAAACACATCCCCGCCCTTGCACGCACCGAGTCTATCTTTTGCTTGCCCCACAGGCTGACGCACCATTGTTGCGGACGTCCGTCCAACGATGAGTGCTAGGTTGGCAGCAGACGTTTGATTGGATATGGGACCTGAAAACACAGCTTTGGCAGCCATTTTCTAGCACTCTGAAAACTAGGTTGGCAGTTTAGCAGTTTCATTAGGTTCATGCTCCGCAGTAACCACTTCCATGATCCAGGCAGTCGTGAAGACACATCAGTTTGTGGGTTAGTTGCGCGGCTGGAAGCACACGTTTTGTTCAGAAATATCTCGTATGTAAGTAGTGCCGGAGGACGTCGGGAGATGCAGGAGGAACCAATGTTTGCCCCGACTCGCTGAGATGGTGGCATGATGCTTTCCTGCAAAGCTTCGACGTCAACAGCTTTACAGGCAGATTTCGCGGCCCAAGCGTTCGCCATTGAAACCTGTGAGGCAAAGCTTCCATTCACTTGATAATAATGTGTTATTGTCCCTTGCTGGTTTCGAAGGGGCATCTATCCCTGCTGTACTTGTCCGGGGTAAAAACAAACGGAAGAAAATCATTTCTAAGAGCCTCGGGTTCTGTTTGCACGTGCACCGCGAAAAAGCCTTCTTTGCTCGAGAGCATCGGCCGTTCGGCGTTGACCGGTGGGCCTGCATTCTCAGCATTGAGCCTCGGCAGGATGCTGGGGGAGTGGGCGAGAGTGGCCAGAGCAAACGGTGGCAAACCCCCGAAAACAACAGCGAAAACAACGGCACAGTCGGCTTCGCTCGTTTTTATTTCTCGGTCTTTCTGCGGGTGCCCTTGTAGGGGTTGGTTGAAAGGGAAGCCATAAAAGGGAACTCGTGGGCCACCTGTTTTGCAATGCTTGAGGAATGCGCATCCCTAGGAGCACGCTGCAAGTGGATTAGCTATTGGAAGACAAGTAGACTTTCATTTGAGGAAGCCACTATGGGTCACACAGAGTTCTAACATGACCTGCGCCCTGCCACTTCTGCTGGCCAGCAAGCCCTGTAGGCAAGTTGAAGGATTGGGCCCGCACTAAAAAGAAGCAAACTTCCAAAAGCCTTGCTGGACTTATGGCATGCCTTTGCCTGTCAATGCGTGTGGGCGTTTGTTGCTGCGCGCTTGGATCATGTCGATCGCCGGCTCCCTTGGATCACTGGTACTGCGAAGACTTCCTTTGTTGGACTTTAGTCACTTTTGGCTGTGGACCATTTTAGTGGTAAAAAGTGTGGCACACTTTTCTGACCAATCCACGCAAGTGAGGTGCAAACCCTCAGCACCCTCAGCGCATCTCAGCATGGCGCTACCTGGCTGTAAAGGGCCTGTAAGGTGGCTGGCAGACTTTACTGCAACCGGCCGTCGGGCAAAATCCCTTGTAGGAAGCGAACGTGCGGAATATTCTTCATTGTTGTGTTTGAGGATCTATTGCAAGCAACTACGCATGCAATTCCTGTCTTCCCTTGAAAGCTTGCCACACTTCATGCCCTTTAGCGGCCCTGCTGGTTCCTCAACTCCTGCCTGTCTATTTTTTAGCGGGATGCGCAGAGTGGAAACTCATCACATGGCTGTGGGTCAAACATATTACCCAAAATGGAACCCTGGTAAATGGAAACTTGGACTACAACCTGCGGTCCCCTCATAGCTTAAATTTTGACCCCCACCCATATGGGAGGCCGTCAATCTTTTGGCTGCTTTGACCCACCGTTTGGAAGGCTGACCTGCAGCCAGCGGCACGATGTAGCCGTTTCATTTCGGCCAGCAGGGATGCCATATATGGTGAGATGCTTGCTTTTTTTGCAAGCCCGGGCCAATGTAGCAAGCCAGATCCTAAATCTTAGGCAGCAAGACCAGAATATTCTTATGCCATATGCTAGTCCCCATTGCGTTTGTTTACCAGAAAGTGTTGCAGTGGACTTCTTGCATTTGCGTCTTAGCAAATGAAGGTAGAAGCAAGACAACTGCCTTGCCTGGCAGCAGCTCAAGCTGATGCAGTATTGCAAGGCAGGCCAGCCTTTGATTGGGCCATTGCACAGGTTTGTAGCGATGTCAGGGCTGCCCCTCTGACATATCACAAATCCATCAATGGAATCTTTGCCCTCTTGCCAGGGATTGCGCATGGCTTTAAGGTGTGCCACACATGTCAGGCAGAATACCTGTTCATGGGAAAGACGCGTCCGTGGGCATCTTCCATTTGAAGCCTCAATCCCCTCCGGAACGCAGTTTAACCCAACAGTCTGAACAAGGGTTTACAAATAGTTCCCCCGTCATGGCTACAGTTGGTGTTGAAGTACCCCAAAACCCCATGTTCATTGATTCTGATCATTTCGGCCCTTACTGTCACTTGGTGGGTTTGCCTCTTGAGGGACCTCAGGCTGTTGCCTTGTGCCGAGGTTCATCCTGGAGCTGTCCGAGTCTGGCGCGTGCTACAGGAAGACTTTCGACTCCGCCGCTCATCAAGACATGGTGCTGGGGGATGGCGATTCAGCCGGAGACAAAGAATGGGCGTCGTGTTTTTTTCCGCGGCCGTTTTGGCGGGCTGAAGAGAAAGTCACAGGGAAACCAAGCAATCTGAGGAGTCCGCCATTTAGAGACTGACCGAAATGGAGACCCAAGCAGGCTGCGCAAAAGTCCGTACCCCTTAAATTTAGAACGGTGCCCGCGTCAGGTCCCATCTTTGTATTGGGAGAGCTGCCCAGGCATTCCCTTTCCGTGGGTACGTCACCCAATTTGAATCTCAGTGAATGGTGGCGTCTTCACAAATCCGGATAGAGACAACTTCGGTGACGAAGCCCCGTGTGGTGTTTTTCTTTTTTTTGAAAGATCAGGCTGGCAAAGACACTGATTGGTCCACGTAGTTGTCGTCCCACGCGAGGAGTCGTGCACAGTCAGGGGATTTGGTGAATTGTATTTTGCAGATGCTGATGGCGCCTTCTGGTTGGGACCTTTGGGCATCACAGAGTACTCCTGCGGAGGCTTGAGACTTGAGAGATCCCAACTTCTATCACCATGTTGAGTTCTACGGGGCCACGCTTTTGGGCCCTTGGAGTTTTGCTTTTTTGCAACCAACTTCACCCAGTGCCAAGTAGCTCATTCATTGCACCCAGAGTTATTTTGAGAAAGCACTCCATCTTGGGCCATTTGAGCAGCAGCTTTAGTCAAATGAAAGAGTTCATGCACAAAAGGAGCTGCATGCAGTTTGTGGGTGGGGGTGTGTAGGCTCGCCTAGGCTTTTCGCATAAGCCGCTGCAGGCTTCTGGCGTAGGCATTTCTTCGACAAAACACGAAACATGGCTCACTAATTCGTACGCTCCTTTTGTGTTCGTTTTTGCTGCGATCTTCGCGTAGGCTGAGCAAAAGTACCTGCCAGTTGTCAGATCTTCCACACCTGTCGGGTTCTATCATGACCCTGCGTTTGAAGGCAGCACTCTCTTTCCAACAGGAATGCACCATGTCAAGAATCTTCCAAACCCCCCGTCCGGGCTCCCATGATTGCAAAGAGGGTGCACTTGCGCTGAACGTGTGATCTTGGCGCTGGAGCTGGCGGCCAAATGTGGATAGTTGCGATGATTGTGAGCTAGAGCTGCAGCAGCGTAGCACAGGCACCCTCTGCGCGTAGCGGCGGAAGCGGGGGCTTCCGCGTAGAGTGATGGCTTGTTTGGCATGGGTGTATGTTCTTTGGGGTTTAAAAGCAAAAAAGACACTCCCGAATGAATGCTCCATGGAAGAAATGGAATCACAGCCGGACAAGTTCCTTTCCCACCCTTTTGTCCGAGGTGGATGCAGCCAGCAACCCAGTGCGCAGGGGCATGTGGATTGGTGTGGTGTAGGTCATCAAGTTAAAGTCCAAAGATCCAACCAAATAGCAATCAAGAACAAGAGGCACAAGTTGCGTAAGTTCTTCTTAAAATGCGATAGAATGACGGACCCCTTCACGTGGTCAGTGCCGTTGCTTTCCTTTGAGACAGGCCCCCGTCTTTTGGAGACCCCTTCAAAATGGTTTGCAGGCATGCCGGCAAGGTGCCGGAATGGGACACACGTCCAGACTGCTTCAATTGACCCGGGTCCAGGATCCTATGCCGAATTATTGGCCATTGGTCTTTGGGATTGGGTGCCGTAGTTTAAGACGTTCCCCGTAGTTTAAGAAGTGCCAGAATTATTAGCCAACATTTTTGGGGTTGGTTTAAAGTAACGCCACAGTACCTACCTCATTTGGTGGCCATTGGGACTTGGGATGCGCTCAGTCCCTTTCTGCAATGGGTGTTTAGGCGGACTGCCGAAGATCAAACCCGTTGGCACCTGGTATGGGGCTGTGGGGTATGGGCCAAAAGTGCACCACCAAAAAACTGCAGGTTTTAGTCCATGTTTGCATTTACCAGAGTTCCACATGGGTTACCCTATTTTTGTCAGACAGCCATGTGTCAGGTCGGGAAATCTTACCCTTATTTGGAAGTCAGGTTTCGAAGCCCCTTCTTGGCTAGCTATCCTTAACAGGTAAGCCAAAACGGCGCACACACAAACACACCCAAAGGCTTTGTTTTGATACCCTGCCATGGCCCGCCATAGTCATTTTGCACACCACCCCTCCCCCCTCACTTGAGTGGTGGTTTGCTTTTGAATCGACGAGCTTGATAAGTTGCCAGGAAGCTGGCACAGCGCAAGAGCAAAGGATGTGCTTGATTGTTGCGGCTTGCTGATTGCTAAGAAACCAGGCGACGCAGGTATGCGAACAACCTACGGGAAGAACATTAGCTAGTCCTTCTATGTTTCAACATTTGTAGATCCACCCAATTTTGGACCCCTGCGTCGAGGTTTCGTTCGACGCCATCCGGGACTTTGTGCGCAGCAGCACCGGAAGTTCCGACTTTCAGGCGAAGTATCAGGACGGTGCTGTCGGATGCGTTGATGCCGGGATGGGGTGAACATGCTCCTCTCAAAATGGGCATGGACCCCAAAACGGGCCTTTGTGTGGGATAGCACGAGAGAGAGAGAGAGAGAGGCAAGAAGCCTCCTCTACAATCGCACAAAGAGATATATATATATATTATGAAAAAATAATATTATATCATGCTTACAAGTGATTTCTCAGGATAGCAAGACCCTTGCATGGAGTTTTGACCATGGCACATTTGGCATTGCGCCCTAGGTCTTCATGATCGCATGGCCATTGTATCTTCTCGGGTTCAAAGCTGGATCTTAGCAACGGTCAAAAAGAAGGGTCACATCTGCACTTTGCTTGATGTTTGCATGACATCCCCCAAGAATGTGACCCTCCAAAAGCAGGGATGAAGCGGGGTTTGTTCATTGACCTGTGGGCAGCAGATTCCGGCAATGTCGTGTCTCCAGCTTGCTTGTCACAAGGACGATGAAGCAGACTGGCGGGAGCCTGAGTGAGACGAGCGGGTTCCCGTTCACCTTATTTTCAAAAGAAACGGGTCAGATTCCACGGCTCAAACCAGAAGGCGCCTTGTCAGGTTCCATGGCAAACAAAAATAAGAACAAGTTTTCAACAGGACCTTGCTCTTGAGCTCGCTCTGCACCTTGAGCTCGTTTCTGCCGGATACCCCTAGCAGAGGTGCACTCTGACTGCTTCCACTCTGGTGGATGCGCTGGACGTGGCCAAGGACATTTTTTAAGGTTGGACTCCCTTGAAATGGCAGACGCGCAGACACACAGACACACATAGACACAGCCACACAGACACAGAGACACACAGCCACACAGACACACAGCCACACAGATGCGCACACACACATTCATTATACATAGGCAAAGTGTCCCACTGCCAGATGGACAGATGATCGCGATGCGGCGTATTTCAACGTGCGAGACGTGCGAATGCCTGCCAGCGGGCGTCCGGCTTTGCGCTTGCCACCCGCCACAGGGAAGCTTTCTGAGGAGGGTTTTTCACAAAGCGCAGTTTTCGTGGCATCCCATGCCACGCGGTGGCTGTTTGAAAATACAAAAGGTGCCCGCCCCTTGCAAAGTGAGTCATGCCGGATAGGACCAGATGGTTCTCCGACTCGCCATCGTCACCGAGCCAGGCTGGGCTGCAGGTACCCAAACTTCACGGCGCGTTTGCTGTCATTCAGTGTCAACTAGCGGGATTTGACCCTCATGAAAGCCTCTTCACTCTCAAAAAGTCACAAACACCTACTAAGCAAACTTGCGCTGAAGCAGAAAGCTTCTTTGAAGTAAAGAAACACCATGTATGCAGCCTAGGTTTGATCCCCTCCCCCCGTTTTCCAAAACGGGGCTTTGAATCGACGTCCGGGACAACCCGACTCCGGCCTCAGTCAGGTGAGCCGCCCAGCCCCCGCAGCGTGTGCAGTTGGGAGCTGGTGGACTTAGAGGCGCCATCGCGGCCGTGGGTGTCAGGGGCCATCCTTGGATCCCGTTACCCAGTGCTTCCAGATGCTACCGGTACCCAGTCTAGGTGTTGCATCATGGTTCCGAAGAACCAGCTTAGCAGGCCTTTTGGACAGCAACAAGTTTAAGTCATTGTTGCTCGATGCCTCCCCGCGGCAGCGGCGGGTATTCCAGGCCCCCTGTCTGATGCCTTTGTTTTGCAGGGATGCCGTGTTCCACCATGTTCTCCCTTTGTTTTGCAGGGAAGGCCCCCGATGTCTGGACCGATCGACATCAGGCCCTGACTTGTCATGATCCAGTTGCTGGAGCAAGGGTGCCCATGAGCTTTGCAAATGGGTTCCAAGAGCACTGGGCATCCTGTGTCCAGTAACCGTAAAGGCTCCCGTCGCTCTTTCTGCCAGGATGAGCAAGACCCGCAAGACGCGGAAATGGTTATGGCCTCTGTCTCAGCATGCTCAAAAGACGTGAAGTCGCAGTCTTTGATCAGGCTTGCCACTGTGTGCACTGGGCGCTGTTTGCCTGCGAGCGTTTCATGCTACCTGGCAACTGTTAGCTTGCATGCATATGGTTGTGTCCTTTTTTGGGCCCCCCCACCCCCCTGCCCCCCTCCCCGCAAAATAAAAATATTTGCACAAACAAAAATGGTGGTGTTCCTGAGAAAAAGGGCACCGGCCTTTATTGCTTAAACACACATATATTGCGCTTAATTTGAATTCATGTAAGGCAAGGCCCCTTGCCTCGACTTCGGGCCTCAAGTACTCCCGAGCTAACTTGAACCTGCTCGACCAGGTCGCCTTTTGGCTCTGCTTGTCTTAAGCCCATGGGTTTGGCTAGCATCAAGTATGAGGAACAGACGCAGCGTGGCAGTTTCTAATTGGTCACCACTTTGAGATGCGTTGAGCCTGACTGAGACATCCAGAAACCCCGCCTGCCGCTCTTCGGCACTCTGTGACCGCATTTGCGAAGTTTATTTTTGTTAGTGAAGACTCAAGACATCCTCAGAGCGGTACTCACACATTCGCTTGAGCCATGGCTGAAGATGACAAGGAAGAAGCTAAAGAAGAATCCAAGGAGACGGATCTCCTCTGGGGGAAGAAGTGGCATGAAGGAGGATTTGAGAAGAATGTGATCCACTTTGACAAGACGGCCAAGGCTTGGCCCCAAATGTTCGAGCTCAATCCGTCCCAAGGGGTCAAGGCACTCGGAGCAGGGCCAACAGGGGGGGGGGCCGCTCCAAAAACAGATGGTTACTGGTAAACAGGGGTGTCTCAACACATCATGTGCAGACCTTCAACCCTCAGATTCGCATTCACATTGACCTCCAAAATTGGAGGTCTCGAATACATGACCACTGGTCCTAGCCCCGATTTCGGTGATATTGTTGTTTTTTTGGTTGGGGCACATCTTTAGAAGCATGTCTGCTGCTTGCGCGCTATGTGCAGCGCCTATCGCATTCCACGGCCGATAGGCCCAAGCTTGTCAGGAGTCTCCCCCCTTTTGGATCCGTAAAAATGGGTGCTTTGATGGAGACGATTAACTCAGTGGTTGTGAATTTCTGTGATAGGAACTGTACATCGTCCCACCCACATGCAGGTAGTCCAGTTTGTTTTCTTTTCTTAGAGTGTGGAAACAGTTTTAGGGCGTACTTCACAACTCCAAGCATGGTCAGCGTCTCTTCGAATTCATGTTAGAGTTATCCACTGCAAAAAGGGCCTACATCACTCAACAAAAACACGAGGCAGGTTCTTGTTCGCCCCCTGGGAGTCAAAACACGCGCAAAACCAACATCAGAGGTGATGCGGGACATCTTCGATGCGACCCAAGGCTTTCAGAAGGAGCTGGGGTCTCGGTACAGCTTCCTGGACATCGCCTGCGCCCCTGGGGGGTTCTCGCGGTTCCTGTGCAGCGACCCACGCAGCCAGAGGGGATGGGGCAGCTCAGCGAGGTGTTTTGGGTCGTTTTCGGCCGAGGTCGGGGGGCCCCTAGAGATCCGTTTCGGATGTTCGGCACAAATTTGGGGTTTGGTTGCCATTGTGCTTGGTGGATTCTAGCCATCCCCTTAGCTTTTTAGTGTGGGGCTTTCCATTTAGCCCGCCAAAAGTCAAACTTTTAGTGGGGGATCTGAGGACAGCTCAGTTTGGGTTGCCATTTTTTGGGGTAACTAAGAAGTTTGGTTACTTTTTTGGGTCAATCCCCTCAGGAAGTGGAATGGGGGATCCCCGCACTGCTTCGGTTTTTTGTGGGCTTCCCTGAAAACCAGCCAACAGGGGGGGGTTCCCGGGAAGAAAAAGGTAGCCAACAAAATGGGAAGCCATTTCCCCTTAGTTTGATGTTCAAACTGCCAAAGTCCCCTCAAACAAAGACAGACCTCACCTTTGCACTTCTGGCTGATCTCACAGAGCAATCCGGCGAAACATTCGCGTGAACAATCGCAGCATGCATTTGACTTGACCATCGCTGATGGCACGGTGAACAGTATGCCTTCAGCAATCTGACTTGTGCTTGTGCGCGAGTAGGTGGGAGAGAGAGAGAGAGAGAGAGAGAGAGAGAGAGAGAGAGAGAGAGAGGAGAGAGAGACAGCGCTGGACACAGGCGCGATCAGGTTTGGCCTCGCATTTGGAATTCGTCCAGAGCCCTGCGTTGGCAGGAATTCCTCGTTTGCGCTCTTCTGACATGCGGAACTAAAAACGTGTCTTCCTTCTGTTCATTTGCACCTAATATTTCCAACAGATAGCTTTGAATTGCTCGTTCTTGAAACCCAGTCAGTTAATCCTTATGCCGGATGGGGTTCCCCTGCATAGATCCTGCATTGACGCCGAAGCCCCAGCTTAAGCCCTGGAGGGAGGGGATTCAGGCAGGGAACCCACCCACTGGCTGAGTTGAAGGGACAAGAAACATGAGGAAATGGATGACCATTTATCCACCCGGATCGCAAAGGGTTGCAAAACTCAGTGCAAAGCCGACCTTTCGGTTTTCACATTTTGGAAGAATGTTTCGTCATGGTTGCAAAAGGTGAACCTTTCATTATTTGGGTCCTTTGGGCAATTGAGTAAATGAAGGTGTCCAATCACCGGCCAATGGGTTCCCTTGTTCAAGGCATCAGCTTGCCGGTGACGGAGGGGGGCTTTCGGCTTCTCTTCACCTGGACCCACCCAGACGAGCGGAAGTTCCAGGTGAAGTTCCGAGACATGCGGCTGGGCGTCAGAGACATCCCCTCGGAAACATCCGAGAAAGTGCTTCCGGTTGCAAGCCGCAGGTAATCATTGGGGATCCTTACCTCTAGGTTTCGTTTGCATCATGCATGGCATTCCCTGTAACCGTGATAGTGGCAAAAATGCCGGAAGGAAGCGCTGGGGGGTGTTGCCCTGCCCAACTTGCGCTGTCACTCAGGTTTGCATATTCCACACGGGTGCTAGTTACATCGAAGGTCTTAGTTGATTGGGCAGTGCCAAACATTTTTGTTGACGGCTCTAGAGTCACTCTAGAGGTTCCAGCGGTTGTTCAACTTTGCTTGTGGGGTCTGAAGCACGTACCTTCACGTGGGTCAATGGCAACCTTAAAACGTTTTCCTGGTTTAAAAGGAAAGCCACCAGAAGGAAGGAAACCACAAGAAAAAACAAATAGAAGGAACGAACTAGAGGGAACATAGAAGGAACCCTGATGGAACACCGTTCCACCAGGCTACCTTGTTTGGCTTAAAGGAAACATAAAAGGACACATGAGCCACAATCAAACCGGGTAGATGAAGATTAGCAAGGGCGAATCGCAACCATAAATAGCTGCGGATATCCGCCTTCTTAATTATTTACGTGGTTTTGGGATTACGACCATTTTAATACCGGGTTTTGATTATGACTCATTTGCAAAATATATATATATATATATTTGCTTTTGAATTTCCTCTCGTGGTTTTAAAGGGAATCTATTGCTGGAAAGATGTGCTGTTATATACATTTTTGTTTTCTCCCTTGGGACTCGAGCAAATGGATGACTCACATCGGGAAAGAAGGAGAACCTCAAGACGCACCGTTTGGCTCCAGGCTCACCTTGGAGCCAGAGGACTGCTGTGAACACCAGGCGGGAAAGACATCGCTCGGTCGGGGGGCTCGCTCTCGGAGTTCCTGGAACTTGTTTTTGGCTTTGGGCCATTTTTGTGGCGAAGAACAATTGGACTTGATACTTTGTAGGGCAATTTGAGCGGCAAAGAAATAATTTGTGGACTTCTGAGTCTGTAGGACCATTTTGGTGGCAAAGAACAAAGCTTGGGGACTTGTTCTGGCCAATCTACTCCGGAAGCGAGGGCCAGATGCCAGCGTTTGGCTAGTTGCCTGGCTTCATTGGTCGCGTGGATGGTTGGTGGTCAGTCTCTCAGGCGGGGCTAGCTGTTTTGTCTCACTTTTCAGCCTCTTGTTTTTTCCCTTTGGCAACGACGGTGCATGTTCCACTGGAACATGGTGCGCAAAGTGTTGGCAGATATCCTTCCTGAAAGGACACCATCAGTTGAAAGAGTGTTGCAAGGAGCCTGCCTTGATTCAAAACAGACATGTTGAACAGTGTGCATACCAGAGCGCTCAAACACGAACACTCCCCAGAATTCATGCTTGGGCATTTTGAACATCAGGACTCGGATATTTTCGGAGCCAGTGATGGAGCGTGATGGAGCGTTGTGATGGGGAAATCAGGTGGAAGACCTGGGTCATGCGGCCGATTTACACTTTGAGGCATGAGTATGGAACCCCCCCCAAAATGAGCACCTATGTTTAGGAGTCTTGTTCTGTGGTCAGGCGACTGCTTAGGTTTCCTCAGTGAACTTTCCCCTGAGCCTGACGAATCCGACAATTGGGGATCCAACCATTCGAGGAAAGGAGGAAATCAAGGATATTCCCCAAATGCCAGGGTTTTGGCAGCATGGTGGCTGCACGTGTTGTTTTTTTGTATAGCTGACTTGTTTACCCCGGCAAATGCACATGGGTGGCCCACAATGCCATCACTTGTCGGTTTTTTCGGCTCCGGTCCCTTAGGCTGGTTTCGCGGGGCCCGGTTTTTCATTCGACTGAAAGTCTGGCTTTTACCCCCCTTCCAACTAACATAGCATCAGACATTTTTTGTTTTGAGGAAACCAATCCAGGCACCCTCCCAGAGGTGCCATGTTAGTGGAAGGGAGGGTAGCAGGGGATCCGAGGACCGCCCAACAGCCCGGAATAGAGGAATCTCCTTCTTGAGAAGCGCCTGGATTCCGTGTGAAGGGGGCGCTGGTCCAGGACTAAGCTCAGTCAGCCCAGTTCACCAGTTCACCCACTGCTTGGGTTGCGCGCAATGTGGCGAACTTGCGAGAACTTTGCGAGACCCTTGCACCAGGGTTCAAATAATATGTCCTTGAATTTCCTTAAGAGGTTTTCAGCATCACGTGTCTCGACGTCCATTTGTTCAGTCGCTT